GCTCAGATTCTTTTTTACTGAAGTGTAAAAACCCTCCACTACCTGCAAAAGTCCTGCATAGTTATAAACGTGTTTTCAGCTAAAAGCATCCAGAGTAAAAATGCTCATTCTGCGTTTTATTATTGGATAATTATTACTGATGCAATCATAGTTGCCATGTGCAGATATTGCAAAAATTGAGTATTTTAAGGACATTTGCATTTTACTTAAATAAAAAAACAACACATCACTGAATGTATTTAATGTTGAAAGTATGTTTTAGTGTCCAGTGTTTAACATTTAGGAGGATCTCTTGGCAGGAATGGAATATCATAGGTATGTTTTCATTAGTGTCTAATCACCTGGAAATAAAATCTACGCACTGAGCCTTTTAGTTTAAGTGACACATTTAGCAGATTGCAACTCCCTCACCTCACCCTCCTTTTGTGTACTCTGGTAACCATGAAACGCCCCAAAAAACCACAAATGCACAGTGTTTGGTTTGTCCGTTCTGGGCTACCGTGGAAACATGGCAGTTCTACTGAAGGCATGTGTCTTATTTTCATAGTTATATTCCAATGAAAATGATATCCTCTTAAATTTTCCACACTAGACCTTTTTTAAGCAGCATTCAGTAGAGAAAGTGAGTGATTGGAAATAATTGCTCATTCAATTTTGTTTTTTACTTTTTTTTAGGTTTCTGCTTTTTCATTAACTTTAATTTTTTTTCCTGACCTGACCTAACATCAGGTAATGAATGAAGGAATCAGCGGTCGGTGAACAACCGATGACTCATTTTAAGTTTGTAGTCTGAAACTTTCAGGCAAGAACAACATTTCTGGCTCAGTAACTGTAAAGATTTCAATCAAGCTCCCACTAAAGTTATAAAGATAGTATAGCCGCCCTCTTGGGAAACATGTTTTGGTACATGGATGTGGAAAATGTGGCTGAGTGACGTCTGTAATTGCTGAGGAGCGATCCTCCTCTATGCAAAAATGATGAGGCTGGATAAGGAGGACTCTATTTGTTCCAACGCTGTTCAAGTCAGGCTAATTAATTTCAGTCAGACGTGCTTTGCTGTCAACATCCGTCGGCTTTAATAATGGATTTCATGTTATCAGATTCTGAGTGGTATTTGCATTCCCGAAGACAGCAGGGCCAAATTTGTTGATTTTTACCTTCCTATAACAGGAAGTAAATCTGCTGATGTCCAGTGTGAATAAAGGAAGGAAAATCATATCTTTTAGGTTGTGTTTATTTTAGGATTTTTATGTGAAATTATATTATTCCACCATACGCATCCAAGATTGTCATCTGCACCGTTGTCTTTTTTCATAATAATGAATCGGATTCACACACACACGAGAAATGATTAATTTTTGATCGTGAGAGGATTTCCTAGCACTTCCTGTACCTATCGCCTGCTGTGTGAAACTTAGTCAGGGACAGGAGGGAAATAGTTTATCACATTCTGAATATTTTAAGACCTAAAATAAAATATTTATACCCTAAATAATGAACTTGCAACACCCAGTCTCTGACTTTTTATGTAGGATTCTCCCAGCAGAGAATATACAATACCCAAGTCCCCCTTGATTATCTCACCTACAGGTCTTTGCCTTATTGTTTTTCGTCAGTAGCCGTGAGTAATGGACTCTCTCCTTAACACCCTCGTCTTCTGACTTTGAAATGGATCCCCATGGGAATAATGCAAGCCACCGTAGTTAATTTCAGTCTGATATCTCCCAACTCTCGCCTTCATTGTTTTGCATAATGTCCATGAATAATGGACCTGCTTCAGTGCCTTGTCTTGTAGGTGTTGTCCCCAAAAGGACCCAATGGAAGCACAAAATCCCATTTGAGGATTGCCGTGAAGGTTCATCTGCGCCAGGCATGTAACATGTAACACTTTGTGGTTTGGGGTGCGTCACCGTGTCTCCCTATTATCCTCCAAAGGTCACGCAGGGCAGGCCGTAATGATGGGGATCCTGGTGACAGATGTATTAGGAGGTCAGGTCTCGTCTGTCTGCTTTCGGAAAAGGTCAGAAAAATCAGAAAGTGAGTGACACTGTGTACGAAATCGTGATGTTAGGGTTGAGTTGAAAACACTCTAAACAATGTATCTCTTGTTGTGTCACCTTTACAAACTTTTGCTAAAGATGAAGATGTCCTCTGGAGAAAATCCTCCTAGAATTGCACACTTTCTCTTTTTTAAACCTAGATCAGCTTCTCACCAAACAGGATCGCTCTGAGACAGTCTCACATAATAGTCTCTAGAATGCCAATATATTCTTTTCCTTCATGTCATATCAGCGAAGGAATTGCAAATGGCTCCCAAAGAGTTCTCACTGTCTGACCTTATCATTGAAGTATCAGTGCACCTTGTTTACATTCTATAGAGGATTTCCAGCTGATGCACTGACCTTCTGCCGGCCATGTTGGACGTCCTCAGCATCTGAGGGGAAGCTGTGAATAGCTTAAAATGTTTCTCAACTGTCTGACTCGAGGGTATTCAAATAGATCATATATAATAATATACAAAAGACGTACTTGTATGTATACATTAATTCATTTATTTTGTAGCAGACAAACAGGGTTGGGAGTTAATTGAAACTGAATATGAACTTGGTGATTGCACTATTCTGTCTTTTAACACCCATTTATTTAATGCTTTTGGCCGCATTCGCCTTGGTTTTTCTTAGCTATCTCCACCTCCAACTAAAGCACTCTGAACTGTTTTCTTTCTTTTACTGGATGTACACGAGAGCATCTTATCCCATCTCTTTTTATTTCTCCTATTGCGTCAATCATAAAACTAGTCCTAAAGGTTGTAACACTATAATTTTAAGAATAATAACCTAATTTTGTTATGTGGAGTAGCAGTAAATGTGTAGTCAAGATCACAACGATATCATTGCAGTGGGTGGTAATGACAACTGTTTCTTCTGCCATTGTAACTTATTGTGACAAAGTTGTCACATCGGTCTATTCCTTTTACTCAGTGATAACGAGGTTTGGGAGAAATCAAGGTGCAGGCTCACAAGTTAGTCTCTCAATAAGTGAAAAAGCTATCTCTGTGTTACACAGTGATTCTCTAGATCAGTTTGTTTCACTGCAGAGGAGACTGGGGGGGAGAGCGTTGTTTTTGGTAATGTGTGTCCTTTTAATAAGGGGGTGTACTTTGTTAGTAGCTGTTCTCTTCGCCGTTCGAGCAACTGCTTTGCATTTATAAATCCCCAGACGATCGGTTGGCGCTGAGATCTCTGATTGTCTGGTATTGCGAGACTGCTACATTCAGCATTACACTCCCAACACAGTCAGACTCTCACTTTAACAGCCAAACCAAGTCTGTAGGAGGGAGGTGAATGAGGATCCCCTCCCCAAAATGGCACAGTCCTATCTAGACCTGAAGTCTGGGTCAGTGTAGAAAGTACAGACTCTGATGTTAAATGATTACAGGCGTCCTAAAGTGACAGAGTGATAAACAAGGTTGTGGAGACTGTGTAGCTCACTGCAACAACACTTGTTTGTCAAGATTGTCTCGAGGTCACAGGTGGAGTGACTTCAGATTAAGCTACAAGTTATTTTTTACTTGGTGCTGGTTTGAAGTGGTGTCAAATACAGGGTCATTAAATTGTTTCCACCCCAATCATTTCTCCACTTTTACCAAAAAAACTGATATCACTAAATAGAATTGTAATTAATATTTTGTAGTATTTAAAATAAAAGTGAATTCCCTATTTGTAACATTAAAGGATGGATATACACCCGCTTTTGGAGATATTTCTAACCAGGTTTTTATACACAAACAGGTATCACAGCCGGTTATGCAGGCCAACAGGGGATAGGACCCAAATGCAGACGGAGGAAGCAGCAGCCTTCAGTGATTTATAGGCGATGTAGCTTATAGGCAGCTACACGCAAAGGCAGACTAGAGGTGCTGAAGTTCAAGGCGAACTGGTATATAGGAAGAAAATGGCAGTGGTTTGAGGAAGTGGGGATGTGGCTGGAGGGAGGGACCGAGCGGCAGAGCAAAGACAATAGTCATTATTTGTACACAGCTACAGTCAAGACTTGAGGGGCAACCGCAACCAATCACAAAATTTCATGTTACTGATACAACAACAGCAGGGTGCTATTTGGAGTATAGTAAGATCTGGAGCGAGTGAAGACAGCTATGTAGACGGCTGTCAGCATTTCTTTTAAATTCGGACAGATGTTTGTTCGGCTGTTAATTAAAGACTCAAAGATCAATGAATGACACTCTTTGTCAGCTATATTTTGCCATGTTATATTTAGCTATTATAAGTTCTCTAGAGGAATGCGTGGTCGATTTTTAACATTTGTGCCACGGCTTCAAAGTCTCTGAGATGGGTGGTTACATTAATAACTTGCTATTCTTGCTTCAGCATAACCAGATAAACCTCCAAGCAAACAAAGCTTCCTCTCCATAGCATTTAAAAAAGCTTTATTTCCTTGGCAATGTTTTATTGCTTTATTCACCATCTACAAAGGTTGGTGGATTAAGAAAATGTATTCAACATTGACTATGTGGGGAAATAAAATGTATTCAAATCCACTTTTGCAGAGATTTAACTTATTGTGTAACAAGAATAAAGCAAAACCACCCCAACTAGACAAATACTTTGACTTATTTTACCTGCTAATAAGTAAGTAACTTGATTCAGAAAAGAACTTCTCACAATTAGAAGAGGGGTCATTGCTGAGGTGAAAAAAAAACATGCTGAAGTAAACAGTTTGCAAGATGGTGTAATTTAATTTCCATATCAAAAGCATAATGCGTATTTGAGTGTTTCCACTGAGTGCTGCACTGCTTGAGTATTTTCTTTGATGTGGACACGTTTGTGCTCAAACAAACACATTATCAGCTCCTCCAGAAGGACCAGACGGAGATTGCTCGGCACATACACACACTTGATTCAGAACATCTCTTTCTGTGTCCGTACTGCTTTAAAAAGGGTTGTCAGATCAGTGTATTGACTCTACTTTTCTCTCCCCAGGAGTACCAGATCGATATTATCTTCGCCCAGACCTGGGTGGACACCCGTCTGCGGTACAACAGCAGCAGCAGCATGCCAACTCTAACGCTCAACAGGTATACCAGATTTTAAAAAGCTGTTGCATCGATACCTATATAGGAATAATTGCAGCACGTTATATTTAACTATGTTTTTTTTTTTTTTTAAATAAACACTAACTCCAAGACACTGCTGTGATTCTCCGTCTTTCCACTGTAGCAACTATTGTGTTTGAACATTTTCATACTGTGAATATCTCATTTGAGAACAATATTCTACTCTCTCTCGGGAAGAGGCCTGTAATTAATGGAACAAATTGATTGATGTGCTTTGTTTTCCCCATGTCGCCCGGTTGTTTTATTATCCTCTTATTGGGAAGTGGGGCTGCTTCATGCATTGAACAGAAATCTGAAGGAATTCAACTTCAATCATTTCTTACCTCCCGCACCCTCCCTGCTCTCTGTCTCTGTCTCTTATTCAACCAGCAATATGGTCGGTTTGATCTGGCTGCCCGACACCATCTTTAGGAATTCCAAGAATGCCGACTCTCACTGGATAACGACGCCCAATCAGCTGCTCCGGATCAGGAACAATGGAACAATACTTTACACGCTGAGGTAAAAGACTCCAGAACACGTATAAACACACAGGACTGTATGATAAAAGAAACTTTGAAGAGCTCCAACAAAGAAGCATGCACAGCGGATCAATGCCAGGTAGCTCTAATGGCAGCCAAACTATGTACTTGCAGTCGGAAAAATCACTTTCAACGGACAAAATTGGCTGTTACTCCCAACTGTTGCTAGTGATTCAACACACATTCACTGAAATGAACAGATGATGTAATCGTAGACAAATACAGACACTCAGGACTTATAAAGACATCAAACAGTACCGATAGGGCACCCCAGATTTTGAACAACTGGAAGCATTTCACTTTCTACCTTTTACTGAAGGCATAGGGCACAAGGAAGGAAGCTTAAGTGGTGCAAACAGCAACGTATGAAATACCCATTAATATTAGCGATTATTGGTGCATTTCACAGATTAATTCAAGCTGCAGTCAGCTTAAATTCCTCTGAGTTACATTGGTTCCCAATAATGCATAGTTCACACTCATTGATATATTTTTGCACAAATCAAAGCTTCCATCAATCGGCGTGCTGATGCAACGTCCCATGAAGCTTGTTAGTACGTGCAAAAGCTGGTTTGTCCTTTTTAAATCCTTATAGCTCAAAATTGTACGTGTCGGCTTGGACTGGAAAGCAGTTCTGAATTCTTTCGCCCATCCCTATCTGTGATTCAATAGGCTCCCCAACTGTGTTATAGCAGCAGCCATCCAAAGGTTTTTGTTAAGCCAAATCATGATTGTTTCCTAATCATCACCAAGTATTTGGGGGTTTGGTGCCATCTTAACTATCGTGGCAGGTCAGAAAACAGTTACGTGAATACCTTTTTTTAGCATGTCCCAGATTCGAAAATGCTAATATGTGTGATATTTTTTTGAAGGGCATTTTATACTGTAGACAGGAAATGAGCGGTATGACGAATAACAAAGGGTCCCAGCTGGAACCAAACCAGGGACACTGCAGTTAGGTGGAATACATCTTCAACACTCAGCCACCTGTGCATACTCTTCAATATGACTTGTGTCTTGGTGGCTTATTTTAGCTTCACAGTTTCTTTTACATCATTTTAATTGTGCATGTAATTTCCTATACGGAAATTTCAATATTGGCTGCTAAACCTTGCTTCACATCTAGCACACAGAGGGATAGAAACTTCCCTTACAACATGTCGTGTGTGTTTTATTTTGCTCTGCTCTGACACACTGGGGGGGGAGTGTGTGTGTGTGTGTGTGTGTGGCCTAATGGACAATATAACCATCGCTCTGTCTGTGTCTAAAAAAAAAAACACTCAGGATTCGAGTGGACAGGTTCTCTTTAAATTTGAGTGGCATGTGAGTTCATGAACCCTCGAGCTCTGACATGAGATTTTTCTGTCTTGAGGATCCAATTTCACCTGTGTATCCAGGATTTCAAACTAGACCTTGGTTCGAATAGCAAATACCACCGTGAGTTGTTTGTTTTTCAACCCCTTGGAGGACCAGATACCTGAATCACCAGGCTAGTTCAGACGCTGTCATGAAGAGTCGAATCGATCAAATGCAGGCGTGCCAAAATGAAAAGACTTCAGCGTTCATTGTGTCTGTCTGTCTGTCAGTGTGTGTGTGTGTGTGTGTGTGTGTGTGTGTATTCAGAAGGGAGTAAAGTTGCTCTTCAGACAGACAGATTCTAGAAATTCCTCTCCACAACCACAAACTTCCCACAAAATGTTTTGGGTTTTTTAATAGCTAATTTCACTGCTAATGCGCGTCTCGGTGATGAATCTGAAAATTATTGTTTCATTAAAAGGATATTAAGCCTTAAAGAGGCGTATGTTTGGGGGCGTACTTGCATTGACTGATGCGTCTCTTCGCAGCGTTTCGCCACTCGCTCGCCTTACCTCAGCCCTTGCCCAAATTGAATCTTCCTGACGTGGATTGGCAAATGGTGCTTGTGTGCGAAGGGGGGGGGGCGCACATCATCTGCACTTTGTTCACCTACAAACAAGAGGAGTGAGGCGGCCCCTCTCCCTGCTCTGAATGAGGCTCCTCTTTTGTGTTTTGAGTAAGTGAATTAATAAGAAGCTGTAGCAGGGGGGACAAAGACACAACAGCACAGAACAAGAGGAAAAAGCCCATTTTCATGAAGGTCTCATTTTTACCGCCATTATCATATCCAGTGAAAATTAATTTCAGGATGATGAATTTAAGAAAGACTGGGAATATTAACTGAGTGGGATACGGTTTTATAATTTGCTTGTAGAACTAATCCCCTGCATCTTTGTGATCACCATAGCTTTCCCAAAACATCTGGTGTATTGACTTGTCCAGTGATCATAGCTAAGTACTCCTGTTTTTAGAAGCGCACATTGCCTCTGGGCCCTGACCTATAAGTTAATGCCGTCTCCGTGGTAAAAAAACACGTCCGACGACGATGATGGAACAGTTCTGTCATTTTGAGGGATTTCACACATCAACCAAGCAATCGAGTGTGATCCGGCACCATCTGGTTTGAAGCCAGCGTTTCATATACTGTAGTGCAAAAAGTGCATTATGTGATATAAGCTGTGATGAATACCGTGCATTCACGCCATGTGCTTCATGGGCCGAGAAATGAAGGATTCCGAGTGTTTATAGTGCCTTGAATGTCTTTGTCTAAGTATTTCTCTCTCTCTCTCTCTCTGTGCGTCTCTCCCCCTCTCCAGGATGACCATCAACGCAGAATGCCAGCTGCAACTCCATAATTTCCCAATGGACGAACACTCCTGTCCTCTCGTCTTCTCCAGCTGTGAATATTGGCAATAGCACACCCACACACACAAATGCCCACAAATAGAGAAATATGCTAATATTCATGCATAGTGATGCCTATACATGAAACACCTGCTCAGGTAAAACTTTTAAAGCAGGCTGCATGAATACACAAAAATGGGTCTGAATGTGAAGGACAAAATGAACATTAGTGACGGAAAGTTGCAAAAAAAATAGGTGAAAGCTCAATTGTAATGTCAAAAAGAGTACAGAAACCAAACTGTGCCACCTCGACACAACCTGAGCCCTAAAATGTTTGTATCCTATTTGAGGGGCCCTCAATTTAGGTGTCCCAGTTTGATCGTGAATCATTGATTTGGGGATTGAACTGCACATACAGGGAGATATTTACTCAGCCTGTCGCAAATTATTGTCAAGAGTACAAACTTTTGTGTCACCACAATTTTTTAATTTAGCAGGGTATTTACTCCAGTAAATCACCCCAGCTGCCGCTATATGAGACCTGATGTCAGCACTTTGTATATTAGTTCAAGAGAAGACGTTTTTTAGGGCTGGAAGTGCGTATTCATCTTGAAAGAGGAAGAGAAATTACAGCCTCAAGTTGTGAGTTCAACAAAAAGATCAGTGATTATGATAAATCAGTGTGAGATTTTTTGGCAAAAACTTTTAAAACTCCTTTGACTACATTATTTCTGTAAACAGATCATACTTAACAACCATTAGTTGCTTCTTCTGTTACACTGCACTGGACGGGAGCTGCTGTGAGCCACTAAAAGTCAGGGAATAACAGGCAGGAGGGACCTGCGGGAAATGGAAAAATCATGTGAAAAATAACTGTTGCATTGCTGCTCTGTTGTCTTGAAGTGAGAGCTTCATTAAAATAAATCTGAATGCATCTTTCAATTTGCATTTTTTCCTCTCTCCCTCTGTAGCCTTTAGTCTCTCTACCTCCATGTGTCTGATAAAACGGTGCCACAGACACCGACATCTACATATCCCAAACATTACATTTCAGACAAAATCCAGTCTGTAGTGATAAATCAGTGGCATCGGCTATTCTGTATACATCTCCTTTTCCTCCTCACATATTTTTTGCGCCCCTAAACAGGAATGCCTAAAATACATATTGCATGAGACCAAACAATTTCCATTTTACTGGAGCAAAACTTTTCTGTGGCCCTTTAGGAAATTAGGACAAACACAGTTTGGCTGTTTAGCATGTAAAGAAGAGCAGCAAAATAAATAAATATTATGTAATAAGTAAATAGCCCCTATTTTAATTCAGCGTCTAGAGATTTTTTCCAGGTTTAAAATGTTTTGAAGAGCTTTTATTTTGAAAATATTATTTTACACTAATCTTTATGTTGGTATTTTTTTTTTATATATATTTTTTAAACTATTTACATTCAAACAAGAACTCTTATTAAATAGGCTGACAATGAAAGTTGAAATGTTTTATTTATAATTTTCTTAAATGATACGTTTAATAATATCTTAAGTTGAAGTTCAATTAGTCGTCAGTAGGGCTTTTCTGGGAATTTCTCTTTCGTCAACATCTTCCATGGCAGAAGGAAAAGAGGAGTGCAGATAATGGTTCTGCCTCCCACTGGCTCATCAGACTCAGATGAGGGATCAGATGAGGAACATGGAGAGGATGAACTTAATGCATTGGGCCACATTGAGGGCCACAGTATCAGCCGCTCTGCTGACGCTAATGATGAGGCTTAGCTCGAAGTGCGTCCATGAATCATCGCCACACGTTGTAATGGTTTGTAGTTAAGCGAGAAAAAATGTATTTTTATAGCACCTTTCTAGATCAGACGTCACCAAGTGCTTCACTTAAGCTCAACGGGAGCCATAACTTCATTGCCTGGAAACATACCAACAAACCCTGAACAGAAGACCTCAGAGACCTCATGGTGACGTGGGACTGCAGTTTTAATGTGGGCAGGTGACCAGGGACCAGGAGTGGTGTCACAAGAGACCTCCTTGAAGTCGTTTTGGACCATATAGGAAGAGGGAGTTACAATAGAATTACAATTACATTACATTTAAAACAGGAACAGTTCAGACACCTGAGGATTTAACAGTGTAGGGGGGCTCTGTTTTATCAGAATTAGCCATAAAGGATAAGTATCCATCCATATTTTAATAGCATTTAAGCAGTGATGTAAAAAAGACAATTTTGTCATATTTTAACAGTTTAACTATTCTTTCTTAATAAATGTTTACATGAAGAGACAACGTTATGTCTTAAATCTGCTTTTAGAAACACATCTTAGTTTCACTTCTTCAAATCAACAGTATACTTGGAATTGGCGACATGTATCAGGAGACTCATGCTGTAAACAAAAACGGATAATTGAAGCACAAACTACTTTTTTTATGCTCTTGCACATTAAAACCGTCGAGAGCCAGAAGAAAATGACACGATGGCTGCATTAACATCTGCCTACGGCTTTATGCTGGCATGAAATTAGAGTCCTCAAAGCATTTATTGTTCCATTAACCAGCGCCTTATTAAGTTACCCGCCACCTAAAAAGCACCGAAATCACATTTGATTTTGTATGACAGGTCATTCTGCTGCACCGGACGTCTTCCAGCGCCTAGATATGATTTAATTTAGGTAATAATCATTACCCCACACGACTACAGATGGCAGTATTTGTGACCAGGCCATTATTAAACCTACTCTCGGCATTGAGTTCGGACAGTCAATTGACTGTTTTTGAGCATATGTACAATTTGTTCATAGTGTGATGAGAGTGGCTGTCGCAGTACTGTACATAGTGAAAAAGCTATTGGTCGCAAATGGGTTTCCATTATGTCTCTGCTGTCAGTGAAAGGATTTGCAGTAATAACCCTTTTTTTCTCCCCACTCTTTCTTTTCTGTCTGTAGCTGCAACAGATCAGCAGCTAAAGTCCTCAGTGACACTGAATTAAAGCCTTAAAGTTTTCTGTTTGCTTTAGCTGAATCCCGCCATTGCCCCCAAACATGTCAATAGCTAATTGCTCAAACGTGTTTTGATAAAAATCGGTGCATAATTTCATGGTTTATGTTTTAAATTTGGCCTCTTGGCAATAGCTCAGATAGCAGTTTTTTTTCTCTCTAAATGAGACTTTGGAATACATTTTAAAGTTCACATACTAAATCCTCGCCATTTAAAACTTAAATCTGTGCTTTATTCAAGATTTTCTGATCAGAGCGAGATCCCTTGATAATTACGGAACAATGGAAATTACATTTGGAGATCTTACTAAAAGCCAGTTAAAAAAGAATTACCTTTCAGTGCAGAACAGATGCTTCCTTGATAAATAACAAATAACTTTCATGACAGCTGGTCTGCGTCTGTTTTTTTTTTTAAACGTCCAGAGCTTTTTATGTTGTGTATGTGAACACGTCTTATCTTCGGAGGCAGCAGCACAGACAACCGGGTCTGTGCGTATGAGTCAAGTGTTTTGGAAAATGTAAAGCTGCTCTTCAGATTTCCACATGACTCTGACAAGCTTATTCACCCACTTAGAAGTTCTAAAGAAACCCTGTGCGGTCAATCTTCGTATTACAACGCGAGATGCCAAAGGAGAGCACATTAACTAACTGAGCAGCATGTGTTTCTCTCAGGTCATCTCCGTCTGTTTTGCATAAACAAACATGTTAGTCTTTCTCAGTCACTGCACATCAAGATATCTGATGACGAAGCCACATTTTCTCCACTGTCCAAACACATAACCCTTTCTTACACGCCATCCACCTCTCTTACCACTCAAGGCGCGTGGCAGTTAATGTACTATGATACTGTAGCAGCCTTTTAAAATGTTCTGTCTCTTCAGCATGAAGCAAATTACAATCTTCCCCATTATGGCTGCAGTCAATTTCATTTATTGAGAATGAGCATTATAAAACACGATGAATGCGATTCTGAGTATCTTTTGATGGCAGATGTATTTCTGACAGACATTGTGCGAGCAATCTGACACCTTGCAAACATGTTTTGAATTCATATCTCGGTTCTTGTGACACGGAAGCTTTTAAGCTACTGTGTCTTTCTTTTTAGTGTATTCGCTGTATAATAGCTTGTCTAAGGCGAGGGGGGCGGGAGTAGAAAAGACATACTCAAAAACAATGATTTAAAGCACTTTGGACTGCAGTTATTCACATCATAGGCAAAGCCGCAATCACTTCCTAAAGAACACCCTTTGTGATTCTATATTGGTAGGATATTCACATCTTTACTGCACATAACATTATATATAAGCTGTGGCCTTTGTGTCAGAAAAGACTGGCCATGATTGAAGCAAGAAATGGCTAAATATGTGAAATTTTTTATATATTTCCCCTTGGTTCTTGTCAATCAGCTGCCAGCTGGGGGGGGGGGAATTGAAGTCTCCATCACTAAATCATTTGTGAGAACTTACAAACGCCAGGTTTTAGCCAGGTTTTGTTCACTGGGACTGCTGAATCTACACCATATGTTAAAATGAGAATTAAAAGTTCTGAGGCAGTGCTTTGAGCTAAATGCTAGCACATCTTAGTGTTGCATGTTAGCATGCTAACATTTATTGGTGCAAGTCCAAATTTTGTCCCGAAAATGATTTTCTTGCTCATTTTTTAACTTTAAACACCCCTTTTTGTGCCAGTATTAGACAATATTTCTCAGTGAATGTGCTCTCGCGGCTACGGCTCCCTGGTTTGACATAACCTAGCAACACCTAATTACTTTCCACTGAAAATAGTTGGCAACACTAGGCACTAGATGAAAAGTAAGGGGATCACCAAAGATTTTGAAATGTATCCCAAAGGGGACATGAATGTCTGAACCAGATTTCAATCCAATATTTGTCGAGACATTTCACTCAAAATCACAAATGTCAACCTCATCCTGGCGCTAGAGGAAAAGTCAGAGGATCACCGAAGTCGGTAGGATTTATCCTTTTTGGGATCATGAATGTCTGTATAAAAATTCACCTCAATTCATCCAGAATTTGTAAAGATTTCTCAGTCTGGACCAAAGCGGTGGACCGACTGACAGACCAAAACTACCTTCCCATACCACTAGTGTGTAGTGTGACAAAAAACTTGAAAACAATATATATATAAATGCAAGATTATTTTACATGATAGATGGGCTAAAACCAGTCAAATATGCTGAAAAGACTTTCATTTTAGCAGATCTGATACTGTTATTTAAACCCAAAATCGGTTACACCAGTAGCAAAATGATCTCTTCCCAGTAAAGAATCAGGCCATTCATACATTTAAAGATGTAATCAGCAGTCCTCAGTCACTCTTGCCCAAAAAAAGCCTGAGCACCTCCATCATGACTGCCACAGGGCTTATTACATTATTTGAAACCCCACTGCAGGGGTTCTTGAACGGTCAATCATAAAACCAAGTTGTCACTCTGATTTTATGTTCCTCACAAGTTTCTTGTTTTCATTTTTGAAAACCTCATCTAAAAATGGACTTGTTTTAAAGTTTTTGGGCGTTCGTGAACAAGAACAAGGAAAATAATGCTGAATTCTTACAGATTAAACATATTCCCATAGCAGCTGACCTGTGGAATAAACTGGAACTGACCTTCCATACAGGTATGGCTGTTGAAAAGAGCCACTGCTCTGCAATAGGTGGAAGGAGAAAAAGAAATGTGCATAGAGTCAGCTGTTTTCTTTCCTCTGACTTTATGATAAGGTATCTTTAGTAAGCACACTGTACAGTATTTCATACAAGAAGAATAACTGCAATTTTAAACATGCAGTTCTCTTACACCCACATGCATACATACTGTAGATAGCAGAGTAGATACATTCAGGACAATGAAATGAGCTTTAGAGGGTTTGGATTTTGAAATCAGTATACCGTATACACTTGTTGTTTAGACTTTTTTTACTTATTTGGTCAAAAATGTAATTACCAAAGAGAGTAAATTTAGGTTTATTTTATTTTTTTTGCTGTGATATACGCCCTCTACATTCTAGTGCCTGGGGCTGTGATTTTTTTTTATCACCACTGTAATTTGAGTGCTGTGATGTCTTTCTTAACAAACACTAAAAATAGTTTATCACTTCAATTGTAGTTAAAGGTCCAGTGTGTAACATTTAAGACGCAGGAATGGAATTTAATATTCATAGGTATGTTTTCATTAGTTTATAGTCACCTGAAAATAAGAATTGGTGTGTTTTCCTTACCTTAGAATGAGCCGTTTTTTTCTACAGACACAGCAGCCATGTTGAACCGCCATATATACAGTAGCCCAGAAGGGACAAAGCAAACACTAGCTTTAGAATAGCGGGTTTTTTGCACATTTTCACATTCGTGCTTGGAAAGGAGGGTGACAGGTGGGAGTTGCAATTTGCAACAACACCACTAGATATCACTAAATCCTAAATACTGGATCTTTAAGAAGTTTGCTGGGGGCCAACGTTATCCTGTGTTTTGAGCACTCCAGACATTTAAATTACAGGACTACCTGTTGCTGAGCTGGACCCACAAGGGACCGCTAACTAGATAGACACCACACTGCCAACTCCTTACTAGGTGTTAAACATGAACAACAACAGGGTTAAAAACGTCTCATATCAATGAGCGTAATAAGAAAAATATACCCAATAGCTGCAGTATCATTATAGTTTATATTACCGAAAAAGCGAGGCGAACTCAAATTTCAAATTCCCTCTTGTCTCTGCTCCCATGATATTGATTTTACTGGCAGATATCCTCACGTATATCTGACTCTGCTTACAGTAATACGGCAGAAGCGGACAGCCCACGTCTTCTTTGCTTGGAGGATAGACAGGAAGAATATTAGAGCCAAGGCCACAGAAGAGTGTAATTTATAACACGGTGCAAGAACATGTTGCTTCAGGGGCCTTTTAAAGGCATGAAATATGACGAGCATTTTGTAGCTATGAAGATACACTGGTAACACAATGGTAATACTCTTTGCAGTAAGGATAATTGTGCAAACACACCAAGAGAAATATGATGGCAATAATGTTTGCCATCTATTATTAGTGTTTGGAGAAAAAAAACACCTCTCTTGCTTCATGGTGATTGCTCTTCTTGGTTATAGATGGCTATCCTCTAAATGAGACTATTTACATAATTAGTCTGGTTCCCACTACAGGGCACAACAACACTCCCCACTCGCTCATTATTTCTGTCACTCATTTTTCGATGTAAAATTGCTTCAACTTGTCAAATGAGCTCAGCTCCTTTCTTTTTTTTTGAACATGGAGCCATTGTTATCAGTGTATAAGCTCTCATAGAAGTTCAACATCTTGTATGCTCCTTGTACTTGTGTTACATTGCTTCACCCGGCAGGGGATCTGCATGTGAGATCCTACAGTTTCAAAGCTAAACATGTCCACAAAGTGGCAAAGAATCAGTTGGCTGACGTACTTTCACACGTCCCTGAAGTGTAATAATATGTTTGTCACAGGAGTATATGGAAGGCACATGGCCTATAATCTCACACTAGAAAACATATCCATTTATATGAAAGAGTCATTATAGTTTTTTTTAAAGTGGACTTGCCTTTTCCCTCCCAAGATCACAGTCTCTTGCAGTGAAGCAGACAGACCATTATCAATTTAATTTGATTCAAGAGCATCCTTGAGACCAGTTGCCTTGCACTTGTAGAAAGCGGTGAAATTATTCAACTGAAATTAAGATTTTGAAACTAAATCACACGTTGAATTACATGGGAGAGTGGATATTTGTTCATCATGGGTGCACTACGGCAGATTCAGAGCAAACAAGTTAACGGTAATTGCTCAGTTGGTCTGCAGTCCACTGAATTACCAATGAAAACTTACTGTATAAATTTGTATAAATCATGCCCAAATCAGGTATAAATCATGCATACAGTAAAAACTGCATTGCTGCATTAATCCTTCCTGTATTCTTCGCCTTCAACTTTTATCTGTCTTTCTGTCTTCCTTTCACGCTCACTCTCTGTGTGGTTTCTAGACGGCTACCCACGGGATGAGATCATATACAAGTGGGCGCGGAACTCTGTGGCGACTTCGGACCAGAAGTACTGGAGGCTTTACCAGTTTGATTTCATGGGGCTCAGGAACACCACAGATGTGCTCTCGACCACAGCTGGTAAGGAAGACGCCGAGTAAAGGTCAAGAATCCTGGCAGTTGTGGCACAAAATTCACGCCGAACAGTTGCATTTCATGGCGTTATGATTGACGATTTTTCACCTCCACACTACCCTCAGAGGTTAAAGGTCGGTATCGGCTACAGGTTAGCAGCTGGAACTAGCAGGAGTCTTTCCGGCTGTTCAGCAGGATTCAAAATAAAACTCAGCCCGACTGCCTCGGTGCCCCAAGCTTTGCACAGGTTAACATTAGCACCATGACCATAAATGTAATCGTATAACTACAAGCTCATAAGTATTCCCCTCGGGTGTAAGGGCAAATAGGTTTCTCCACTGACATTAATCACCAAGATTAAAGATTAAAAAGGAAGTTTAATTATTCACTTCTTTTCCTTCTCTCTTCCCATACTTTGTGCAGTATAGTTATTAGGCCTTGTCTCCTCTGATGATTTAATTTAAATTTGTTGTTCGGGGAGGCAGCTGGAGAAATATTGTTGCTCCAACAGGTGCCAGTAATTACACTCTCAACCGGAACGGGGTGGACAAGTTCCTAATACATTTTTAATGCCTCCACGTGACCCTTGAAGATAAAGACAGATTTTAATGGCCTAATACGCAAAACATTATGAATGAGGGAGATGGAGAAAGAGCGTGACGCAGTGATTGTTAACCTCTCTTAACCTTGTTTATGAGTTGCATATTTTGTGCCACACAAGTACTTTGTCTTTGCAGAGGCGTGCACGAGTCTGCATAATGTGACCTCATTCAGCTTTCTAAGAGCTGAACCTCCGTTCATGAATATTCGAGGAACAAGAGCACTTGGCATGATTAGGAGAGGGATAACAGGGAGTGGCATCAAATTATTAAGGAGCTCAGTGCAAATCAGTTGAACAGATTCATTTTGCAAAAACGTTTAAGCGTGGCAGTCTCTGTCCCAATACTCAAACATGACGCAGCTAAATCAAATATAGACCTCTTTTAACTGGAGAGAAATAAGGTCGTCTGTTCCATCACCCATTGGGAATACTGATCAAGCATCCTGTTTATAGCTAATGAGAAGCTGCCATTGTATCTTTGTTTCTGATAACACACACACAAAAAAAGGTGACTGATGAGCGCTCTCATCCTGAGACACGTTGATGGCCTTTATAAATTATATGTTTTCCTGGACTCCCGCTGCAGAATCAAAAAAACGCAGCCAAACTAATTTTCTGCTGAGATGCTCAAAAGCAACCGCAAACCTACACATCTACCTCATGCTGTTCAAGAAAATTAGCCGTTTTCTCATTTATTACCTCGTTTCTTTTTCCTGTTTCACTTGCCGGAGCTCCATCTCCACACGCATGATGATTAGATCCCCGGCTAAAAATACCTATCATTAATTTACATCATGACAAACTTCGAAAGTGCTGCGTTTCTCTTCCTCTCTCGCTCTCTGTCTTCCATCTCTCCGCTTTATCCTTCATCCCTCATAAACACATGAGGCATGGGCCTGTTTTAATGAGGACAGAGTGGACAGATCCCCGGCCACAGCGCCACTGGGGACCACCGCCGCAAATCCACCGTCGTTATCAATTCAGCGGCGTCCTCTTCAAAAGGCCCCAGTGCGGAATCCCAAACACTTCGGAGCTTTGTTCTACCATCCAATCACAAATTCCCCAAAAAGCTTCTATTATGCCTTTTTCTGCGGTTGCATTGCAGAAATGCTGATGTTCTTCCTTCCGCACACGTCCACCCTGGACATTTTTTTTCAAATGCCTTCCTGTAAAGAATGTGTAGTGAAATTGCTGACAATCCCATGCTTTGTCCTTTGATTGCATCACGGATCACAATACTGAAACTCCCCTTGATGTTGCTTCTTTATTTGATGTATGAGAGACTTCATACTTTTTTTTTCGGCTGCGCTCACTAACCTGCAGCACATCCTATAAAATCACAGCTGGAATTCATGAAACTATGATGAAAGTGTCACTGCATGAGGAAGAGACATGACCACGCATGCAGACTTTAAAAAAGAAAATGACTGATTGAGTGTGCACTTTACACCTCCTCTGAACGCTGATTGTCCAATCTGTGTTTATAGCAGTCATAATTAGACACAGCAGGCTTGAGTTTGTCTTGTTTAAAGCCTTTCCAAAACCAGAAACACGGAAGGAATGTTTATCTGTTCAGTGCAACCATTAGCATGTTGCGCTAACTAGCTTTCTACCTATAGTAACCCTTGACAGTATATAATTAGTGTAGAAAGCTTCTGAGTCTGTGAAGTGAAGCCAACGAGGAAGTGTCTAAAAACCTGCACTTTTTCTAATGACCAGCAGGGGGCAGCTGCATGGGCTGCAAAAAAGGAGTCAGATAGAACTGAGTCTTATGGGGAAATTGTGCTACTTCTCACTTGATTTATTAGTTCAGTAAACAGTTTCCTGATAAGTTTATGGGCTCAATTGCTAGTTTCAAGTCTTCTTCCATACAGCATGCTGTTCATTTAGTACATTATTGTCCCATTTTGAGTCTATCCAGCGCACCACACAAAACTGAGATCAAACTGTCAAACTAGGCAATCAAATATGAATCAAGATTCTGTTCCTGCATTGCCTATTTCACGCCTCAAATCTTTTTTAGAAGCATATTTCAGTGTACTGTGACTGAGAAGCTGCCACTGTTTTCTGTTATGTACCAGTCGAAACTGAGCGCAGCCAATGAGAGCAGTTCAACTCGCAACTACAAACGTTTGGAACCTGACTCTTATATGATTTTAAATTCTGTCAACTGCAGAAATCTCACTGTGGTCAGGGTCAGACGCCCCTTTGATTTTGATGTTATCATCTTGTTGAATAGGATATCCTATTTTTAAAAATAAATAAAAATCCATAATGGATAATTAAAAGGAAAGTCAGCTCAAATACCATTTATAATTTCCTTATTAGAGCTGTCATATATAGGGTTTGCTTACATTGACAATGGAGTCCTGTTCACTATAGCCATGTGGGATTTTGAGTTATTTTACTGTTCAGGTTTTGA